TCAAACGTAGCCTCTTCAAATTCTATAAGCCTAACTGCATGAAAGTCCGTCCGAACATAAATTGCGCAACCTCCTCCATGACGGTTACGATCGAGACGCCAAGGAACATGATATTCAGAAAAACTTATATCATTATCAGTGCTAGTGTTATCTAACCACGTTTCAGTGAGGCAAAGCACTACTGGTCTGATCAAAGATAAATAAGCGCTGACAGCATCCTTTTGAGAATCCTGGTTAATATACTATTTTATTCATGATCAATATTTCCACGGACGCTCTCTTAGTTGCTGCAAAATATAAGTATTTTTCATGCAGTCTTTATCTATGTATCATCGTGCATGTCAATCAAGAGAATTGTACTCGGTGAAAAAATAGATGTGGAAAAATATCGTGAACCGTGATAAAGCAATTCCTCGTTACAATTATTTTTGCCTAGTGTCATATATCTGAACAACACTGTCATTCTTATCTATTTTCTCTTATACCCGTCGACATATCAATCATTAATAGGATTACTGCCTTGACTGGTCTGAAATGAACCTGGTTATTATATAGTCTCATTCGATAAAGTCACTTCCTCGCTCTTCATCTCTTTTTTTAGGTCTGTGTATAACTAAGGTATGCAAACAAAATGGTGACTTAGCAACCTCAGAATTTGGCTCTGATCCACAAAAAAAGTTAGGTAAGATGGCTCAAAGCATACATTGTTGATCAAACAGGATTGTCGTCGGTTTGTTACTTTTGACCAAATTTAATTGCTTACAAAAGTCGTCATAGACAGATTGCTGTTGTTTCAGCATGACGAATGATATTGTTAAACTCGCTTGACGATTGTTTAACTGCCGCTCTGCCTCGCCTATCATCATTTTGGCAATAATATCGGCATTAATTCTAAACCTTCCGCATCCAATTGCAGGTAAAGCTAAATGGTTATAATATTGGTGTTTTTCTATTCAGAGATGGATTCAGTCATCTAGCAGAATTTGCAATCGCAAGTCTCGTCTGAAAATCCCTTGATGTCTTTGCGTTCTACACAAACTGCAAGTAACAGTAAGAAATGTTAGCTCTGATTCAACTAAGGATAGTACAAGATATTATACCGATATAGTCTATTTCAATTTTCCGAAGTAAGTCGTTGAAGAAAAGTAATATCGTGGTCTTTTTGTTATCATAGAGCCGTATGTATTTCAATTGTTGAATCTCTCTGGAAAGGAAGAATAAGGATTAAAGTTTATATAGAGTAGAAAAAAGCCGAAAAATATTTACTCTGAAATTCAAAACTCGCCTCGGTACAATCTCATCACAGTTTCATCCGATCAGACTATTGGAGATGCTTAATGGTACCTGCCCCTCTTTTTGAAATAATTTTGAGCGGATAGTGTAATGGCACTTTAGTTTCCTCTTAAGTTTTACTCGGACGTCATATAAAGGTAGGGCCAGAATTACTGAAACGTTTGTTTGAGTAATTCTGGTCCACCCTTTAGGGATAACGCCCGAGTATCACAAAACCATCAGTTTATTCCGTCAAGTATAAGATAAAATACAGTCGACATTCTTTGCTACAGATACAGATTTTCATACTTTACCAGATCCACCTGTGTCTTACCGATGCTTTTGTAGCCATTATCCCAAGCATATTCGACAGCATTTGATGTAAACCAACAGATTGACTGTTTTAACACATTTAAATCTTTTGCTTTAGGTGACCATGGAATAAACAATATTTTTTTACAAACCAGTGATCCTGATGACGTGACGATCAAGTTTTGAGAATTCTGTACTGAATATTCCTGCGATACTTGTATCCCTGCCGCATCGATTACTGACTTTCTTAAAACATTTGATGTTGAACAAACAACAATAACATCATCCTGTGAATTAATTGAATATTACAGAGGTCTAAGAATTTATGTAGTACCTACTGTTCGTGTCGTTAGATTACCAAAACACACTTGAATTCTTTCTCGATTAATATTTGCACTTGTTATTAACTGGGGTGATAAAGCTGTGTGTGAAGCGCTTCCGGTGTATGGTATATTGAATACATTCGCATCAGCCAATGTTGTTGGGGTTCGTACATTTAATTGGATAGTGTCACCAGTTACCTGGATAAAACATCGAAATTTTCGAGCTTTTTCTATCATTTCTTCCGGCTGAATTGATGGCGAGAAATCTTGCTCATTTATAATAAATTCCGATGTTGTAACTTGGGCATACTGTAATAACCAGGATTTTACAATTTCAAACAAATTTGATGGAGCTACAAATTCGTTGTTTGCCAGTTTCGATATTATTGTGACCACGTCTAGTTCGTAACTATGTTCTAATGCTTTCAGTTCTTCGGAACAAACACTCAACAAATAACTAATCTGAAAAAAGAACACTGTTCTTTTTTATGAAATTATTTGAGCATCTGAATGCTGTCGTACCTGCTTTGAGTTTAACGTTAATTTCCAGCATTTTGGTGCATAGTCAACATTTAATTTTTCAAATGCCACACTATGCATTTTAACAATGGTTGACGGACCCAATAAATATGTACTCTGGCTGTCTGATAATAATAAACTATTTCCATTAAGTATATTCCATTTTCGTACTTCTTCTTCTAACTCTGCCCATTTTTGTTTCAGTTGTAATGACGGCGAAACTGCCGAAATTGTTTTCAACATCAATATTTCTTTGAAAATATAAAAACCATAGAGCTCATTATATCAGACTGACAGTCAACATAGTGGTATCAAGTCTTTTCTATTTCACTTCAGCAAAGGTCAGATTTTGCTTTAAAACGAAAACACTCCTGTCCTACGGAATTTGTGTTAACTCCTTACGCTCGTCAACTGATCTTGCAAATCAGACTTGAAACGTGTATACCTTTGCGTAGACTTGATGAAAATCTTTTTGTTATTAGCAATCATTAGCTTATATAGTGTTACGCTGGAAAAAAGTCCATTATTAAAAAAATCTTGATTTAGCGCTGCGTTAAGTTTTTTAGCAGTTACAGTGATGTCTCTGGAAGAAACAACCGGGCATAAAGGATTAGCGATGTGCTTGAAAGTTAATTTACATTATGAAAAGTCTTGAACATGCTCCATTATAATTCTTTATTTTAGATGCAAAATTAGGCTATTTTAAACCCCTATCCTAGCCAAACCTTTTCCTCAGGGTGCTCCTTATTAAACGTTTTCCTTCAAAAGTCTTTGTTATTTAAGAGGGGACGGACCCTGGCTTTTTACATGAATTTGTTGCGTATGTCGACTTACATATATGGTGAGACGTTTGAACCTCCCAGACACGTTCTTCCCAGGTTTTTTTAACTTTTAAAAGCTTACTGAAATTTAAGAGTTCCTTTTAAAAAATTCACTGTTCATTAAGGAAACGTGTTTTAATGGATAAGACTGGCACCAATCGATCAAGAAGATCGAACTGCCTATATGCTGAAATTATTGCGAACTTTGAATGAAGTTCGGTTAACAATAATTGTGTTTTTTCTTGAAATGGCGATTTTTCCGAAAACTAGTATTTTTTAAGAGCCTTACCACAGATTGTGGCTCAACGAGGCATGATGGGGAAAAATTTTGCTTACAAAAGTCTTCCTTAGGCGCCAAATGGGGTACTGAGTGTAACACTATTTCCAGTGTAACAGAAAAATTTTGAGAAAAATGAAGTTTAAGAATTTAAAACTATTAAAAAACGTACGTTCTCAAAATTTTTCTGTTACACTGGAAAAAGTATTACACTCAGTGCCCCATTTGGCGCCTAAGGAAGACTTTTGTAAGCAAAAGTTTTTCCCCATCATGCCTCGTTGAGCCACAATCTGTGGCAAGGCTCTTAAAAAATAGTACTATCCAACCCAAAATATAAGACCGGTAGTTGTTTTTTGAGTAACTCAAAGGCGATAAAAGCTGGAGACTTGCGGTTTTTGGCAATCAAAAGAAGACAGTTTAGTCTATATGTTCCATAAGCAAAAACGTTTTATGAACAAATATTTAAAACTGGTTTTCCAGTGGATCTCTGAAAAATCATTTCCCAAGTCAACAATTTTACATAACAGCCTATCGATTTTTTTCCATATATAGATAGTCCGAAGTGTCATGTACAAAATAAGATTCAAACGAAAGTTTCACTTTGCTTGGTTCGAAAGCTTTGGACGTCTTCCCAGAAGCCCTTGGACTTCAAAAAAACCGGTTTCACAAATTTGTTGAAAAAAACGTTTCTGTCTGTGAAAAGACAACTCTTTCGGCTGCTGAAAACCGCAGGTTTCGATCTTTACCGTCTATGAGTTATTCGAAACATAGCAGCTTGCCTTATACTGGCGCCGATAGTAACAACCCTCATACAAACTCGATACTTCGAAAAACCGAGTTACAATAACTTCTTATGGAGAAATTTTTGAAAAATCGAATACAAAATTTTTTAGCGCTTGAAAATCTTTGTCGAACGAGCTATTACTTCATGATTTCCAACAAATCATTAATTTAGAAATAAAAGTGTAAGCTACCAGAATAATGCTGATTAACATTACTCAGCACTAATTAATTATAAATTAATACCTTTTACAAATACTTATCGACTCTCTGACAATAATTCATGATATATGCAGTCGAGTGTTCTCTACAATCTGAGAAGGTTTAACAGTACCTTTTGTGGGGGTCCGCCTCCCATCTCCCCTTAATAACGATAAGTAGAAACAACGAAGAGTCGAAACTAATGAGTATGCTTAACATTACCGAAAGATAGTTGTAGCTCAAAAACATCAAGTTCACTTGAGAAACGACACAGAAATCAGAAACTAGGAGGGATGATGATTTTTGCGTCCATCTTCAAATTGCTCATGAAATACCTTGATTGGTGTCGTGTTCTTGGATGACGAAGTTCAGTGCAACGATATGAAGAAGCATTTTATTCGGCACGTATGAAATATTCCGTGCATCAGCATCATCCGTGATACCTTGAATTAAATTGCAAAAATATTTCTGGTTCTTATATGTTTCTTCAATATTATTGCTTCGATATTTTGAATAATAATTAAATAGCATAAGAATATCGGTACTCGATAAACAATCTATTGATTCTCCTCTAGACTGCCATTCAACAATGATGTCCTATCATCTCATTATTTTCTGTGATTTATGATTGTCTGCATCCTTCAGAAATGGTTTCACATCGACGACTTATTTCTTTCCAGCTCTCGTCCCTCTTATTGCTATTGCTAACATTCTCAGAACACTTTCGATGTAAATCAAGTAATGTGTCATTGGTAAAGCTGACGTAACTTTTCTGATTAATACGTATTGAGGATGTTTGCTGTCGAATTTTATCTTCACCGAAGGAAATATTACTGTTGTTTTTGAGTAGGCGGAAACAGGCAACTAATGCTGGACTTTCACATTGTACTGCTTTTTCGGAAGTCATAATTATTATTCCACTTTTCGGCAGATGATTAGATTTCGCATCATTGCACCTACTCTTCTCGGTCAGCTCTTGTTTCTGTACATTTTTATGAGACACTTTGACTTTCTTGATGGAATCATAACCAGATGACATTTTCTCGTGTTGCACTGTTTTGTAATCGTTGATCAGTCCCTGTGTTAGTGATTTTAAGCGCTTTCAGGTTCAAATTTTGGCGTGAGAAGGTTTTTAAAATAAAAAACTGCTTTTTTGTACAAGATTTTAGTATTTTTCGAATATCTTGAGAAGGAAAGCATAATTTACGAGAACAAAAATTTGGAACCTGAGATAGGGTCTAAAGTATCCGTGATAACATTTTGAGCTCCATCGCATCATTTTTTCGTGCGGTCGTAATGTGACTGAGTGAAAACCGTAGAAGAACATGTCAGAAAATTCTGGGCAAACATATAACGATATTCTTTTTCGATATTCTATCTCTGGTATAATTTTCACCCCTATCAAACATTTTCAAGAAGGTCAAAACAGAGGGGGGAGAAGCATCCATAGTGCAGAGATAAACAGTACCAAAGTTGTCGCCGAAATTTTCGAACCCCAGTGAATCGATTTTTATTGCTTTCCTAAGATGGGGACTTTTACACCTATCTAGCAGGGCTAAAGTCGCTGGCACACATTTTTCCTGTTTTCGTTTCGTTTTCCATTCCATTCTATTCTGCAGTGCCTATATAAGCGTGTATGAACAGTTCAATGTGCGTGTTTTTAAACTTGCTATCTATGTGATGATGAATATTGAATAGTTGAAAGCTGATAAATAAATAAAAATTAATAATGAATAATTCAGTTACAAAAAGAACTAACTTGTAACGTTTTATATTCTCTCCTTACAACATACATTAATTGTATATGCATTGTACAGTAGAAAATAATATACAATGTTCTAAGAATGCCTATATGCTTTCATTTAGCATTTTATAATTCCTAGGAAATCAGATTTTCTAGAACTGTGCGTTTGAAATCAAAACTAAATATTGATGGGCATTCTCGGAAAACCGAAAACCAGAATCAATTTTCGTAAACTAGAAAATTGTTCACGATTCTATAAACCTCAGATCATTTTCTAGACTTCTTTTTTGTCTATTTCCATCCCTCATCTTGTTACCGGTGAATAATCTGTTACTGGTTAATTCAGCCAGAAAAATTTGAAATTGATGGTCTATAAGTAATCCACCATGGAGAGTCTGATTTGTGGAAGAACCTCTACAACTTTCTGTGCTTTCTGACTAGTTCTAAGTTGAATTTACTGTTAAAAAAAGTCTAAGCAGTAGTAATCAATAGATATTAGTTTTAAACATGATAAAAATTTCTGGTATATCGAGCGGCACATTTGAAATGACTGGTTCACTTACATGATGTGTATTATTTTCAGTTGGTTGTGGATAACATTGTGTTTCATCGACACTGTTACAGCTGACACAATCTTGAGAGAAATTATAAACTAGTTTTGTATAACGGCAATATTCTAGTTCTCCTCCAAGTGACGATGATTCGATGTAGCCTGGTTCCTGTACGTTACATTGAGACATATGAGACAGAAATAATTGTGCATCGATAGATGAATTGCAAAATATGCATACCTTCTTCATGCTTTTATTTGCAACTTGATTTGACGCCACGTTATGAGGAACACCGACACAGTTTAAGAAGTGACTAGGATGTTCGATGTCTGATACTAACGAATTATGACAGCCATATTTTCTTATGTCACTTGGATTCATGGTATTCGATGAAGGGAATGAGGACTGGATGTCTAGAATGGACTGAAAACGGTCACTACAGTTTTTTCTATTGGAGACTATTTTTACCTTGATCATGTGAACACATCTGTTAGTATATGTATCTCTTTATTTTGTAAACCTGCAAAATTATTTCTTAAATTATAAAGTGGTCTACCAGAAAGATATAGAATTATAAACACTTTTTGATAAATCATCTAAAACGAAGAAGCATGACTAGAACAACACCCCGCTCCTAAATTCTTAGACCTCTGTAATGTTCAATTAATTCACAGGATGATGTTATTGTTATTTGTTCAACATCAAATGTTTTAAGAAAGTCAGTAATCGATGCGGCAGGGATACATGTATCGCAGGAATATTCAGTACAGAAATGTCATAAAGTAAGCCTAACGTCATCAGGATCGTTGGATTGAAAAGGGGGTCATGCCATTGAAGCAATCACTGACCAGAATCCTTGCAAGCGTTTCATCGAGTCGCTTAATACATGTAGAAAAGTCCTTTTCACCAGTTTTTACTTATAAAAACTTGATAAACGTGGTATATGACACATGCATACAAAAACTGTACTCGTGTCTGTTTCTGAATAGCAAAAAACAGCAGCCGTGTGTCGTCTTTTCTATATGAAAAGCATGAGAGATCTCTCGAAAGAAAATTCTTTCTTTCATCATATAAGGCTTGAATTTCATTCAGATTATTCAAGTATTACGCAATGATCGACAAGTTCTTCTTCTTTGCCGTTTTGTAGAAGAAGCGTGAGCAATAAAGCGTATCTCTTTCTTGTGTTATTGTACTATTGCTTTGTTTTCTTCTATGATGGGTAAGTGGCACACAAAACCAGATAGTGTACCAACCACCATCGTGTTTATTTACAAACTGTGTTTGTTCGGAGCCCAGTTGATGAAGCCCTTAAGCAAAGTGGAAACGCGTACTGGTCAGCTTTCTCTGTTTTTCACACACTCATGGCCAACCACAGGCTCCCCTCCCCTGACACACGCATATCGGCATTTTTTGTTGCATATCTGGCTTACAAAAATCTTTACAATTGTGAAATACTAACTTTAGTAATAAGTTTCGAGAATCCAATTTTTGGTGACTCCGCATACTTTTTTTTCATATCTGAAACAAATACGATGATATAATTTTACACACACGGTGACACATGGATTTTCACATATGTTTAAAAAGATTTCTTTTTCTCTTACGAATGGAAAAGAACAGAAAAGGAATTTAACTGCCTGAGATCATTCTTTTTTTCTTTATTGTCTACGGTTTCCCATGTGAAGAAGAAGAAGTAAATAATTGCAATATAACTTTCTATATTTACTGAGTGACGCATATTTTTAAATGGTGTGGAAAGTTTGAATTCGATGCACTTAAATCTGAATATATTTTCGCCTATATAATGCACTCAACGTAATCCTTGATGAATTTAGAAAAACTTACCTATTTAAAACACATTTTTTGCAGTGATATATTCTTTCCCTTTTAAACTTTAATTCTTATCTCTCTAGTCCAATGGCCACCGAAATTGGGTTAGCCCATTGCATCTGTGCCCAAAGGTACCGAAACAATAAGTATTAGATAGTTCCTCCAAGACTATCACGCGATTTCTGTTGCCGGGAATAAGTTGACGTAAATAAGTTGACGTAACGTTAGCTCAACGTCACATAACAACGTTACGTTTCACTTTTTACGTTTCACTTTTTCCGTAGCTCAACGTCACATAACAACGTTACGTTTCACTTTTTTCTTCTCCGTTCTGAAACACAACGACATCGTTCAAATATACCAAACCTGAATGAAAGAACAATAAATGAGAAGAATTTTTTTCTATTTGAAAACCGAAACGAAACGAAAACAAACGTGCGCAGTCGTACTTTAAAAAGTATCGACTTTACCCTGCTAAATTCGGTTGAAAGAATGTAGAAAAATTCTATAAAAGATCTCGCCTTTTCAATATAAGCTTCTTTATACCAGAATCTTTATTTTCATCTCGGACAAATATGCGGTTAACGGTAAGTGACCGAAAACACTTGTCTTTTGCTAAAACTCCCTTTATCAGGTCTCTTCACTATATGGAGTCAGACTTCATTCGATACAACAGACATTATTCTATCTTGCCAACCGTAAGGTTAGTTATAGTCAGATTTTCACGTGATGTACTTCTTCAGTCTTGGAAGATTAGATTACTGCAACTTAGTTTTCTCTCGGAAGCTCTGTGTTTTCCACTTCCACTTGATCTAACATATTCTACTGCTGAACGTGCAAGAATCTCAAATAGTTGGACGATTCACTTGAATTTCATCTTCCGCATTGATACATTTTTAAACTTCCACGTAGTAGGTGATCCTGTCAATTTTTGACACTACCTTAGACAAAAAATATTACTAGACATCCCACAGCCAATATCGATATCGATTAATTCCGGTTTATGGTCCTTTGTTATCATTTTGTGCATCTTATTCAATCTGATTACTAAAAAGGGTAAAAGATACAGGTAAATACCGGTGCAAGCCTACACCAAAGCGGCTAGCATATAAGCAGTTATCGGTCAGAAAAATAAGTCTTCCTTCAAATTAGTTTCTTTTCTGCTTTTAGAAATTCCAGAGAAAATAAACGCGTTTTAGCAATATAGCAATCGGATTCTGTGTTCCCCGCGAAAGCAGAGTAAGCTCTCCGATTGAAGTACAACATAGTAGTTCACCTATGAATCTGTACGACACAATGTTTGTTGTCTTCATCAATTGGAAGCCAAGATCTGATCGCATCTTTTCACCGCGAAAATATGAAGTTCATCCGTTGGCCTAAATGTGAGCATTGTCGATCTGTGTAATAACTCCCCTGAAAAATGAATCCTACTTGTCTGATTTTTCTCCTTTGGCATGAGCGAAGAAAGTTCACGTAAATGCAGTGTACCTGATCTACGAAGTTCCGGCAGCCAGTCGCTAAATCTCGCTTGACGCAGACTGAATTCTTAGACGCTACAAGCCATGATGTTTCACATAGTCTCTCGCTCAAGATTTTCGCATTTTAATTTAAATTTTAAAATTTTCTATTCTGAGCATTTTGCAAAATAAGCCAACACAATGTATCGTGAGACCTTGCGTAAATTGCTTGCATCTCAGCAGAAAAAGAACATCTAGACCTATGTATGATAGCATTTCACTATCTGTAAGCTATTTTGATTTAAATTATATCCTGTTGATAATAATTTATTGGCTCGCTGAAAATATTCTAATGCCATATCGATTTTTCTCATTATCTCATAGACTATTCCTAGGTTATTATAAACAATAGCGAGATCATTATGACCGGACGGAAGAATGTCAAGTAGCATTTCTGTAGGATCCATCGTGCAATGATTTTTGCTTTCTTAGCAGAAAAAAAAATTGAAAGATAGTTCCCAAGGAACCCACTACCCATCAGAAGAAAACTTTTTGTCTGACATCCGATTTTAATGCCACTTTCAGAAAATGTTTGCCATATCAAAGTGTGGTTACGAAATTTTTTTTTCCTTGTTATACCTTACCGTTGCGGAGTTTTCCAGAATCCAAGGTCAAAAACCCATCCTCCAGTATGGAACCCGTTTTTTAAATATACTTCAAGTTGGAGATCTCGGGTTGCTTTTATTTTATACTAGACACCTAACTGTGTGAGCTGCTAGGACTAGATTTTGTTCGATTTCTAGAGATCCAAGATTCTCAAAAACCCAAGAAAATGCTTTCAGGTTTTCCGGAGATCCTTGATTTTCTAGAAAACTAAGGCCTAATTCAAAAATCGGATCCCAGCAGCTTACGCAGTTAGGTGTCTAGTTTAAAATAAAACCAACCCGAGATCTCTAGCTTGAAGTATATTTAAAAAAAAAGGGTTCCATACTGGGCATGTTTGAACAAAAAACAAGTTTTGAGAGAAAACGCTGTGTATTCGTCGGTCTATTTTAGGACATGTAGGAAAATGCTTGTAATGTTTGAACGCAAGATCACACAGAGTTGTGCAACGTCTTATTTTAATCAGAAAAGCCTGCTCTACAAATCTAGATGTTTAGAAAAAATTTATTTGCTCAAGTATCTAGAAAAAAACTATTATTTGAAGACTCTGATTTTCAAGGATTCTAGAAAACTATATTTGAATTCCATTGCATTATTGGAGTCCGATAAGTCTTCTGAATCCTGTCAGGCATAACTGTGTAGGTATTGCTCCTCTCATCACGTTTTAAATCGCGTTGCATATTGAACAATTCTTCGTGTTTTCTTTGCCTCGCCATACTGTAAGTATATGTATATTCAAATCAAGCCTAAAGTGTAAGGATTATAATCGTTAGTAATTTTTAAAGTATAATTAATTTTGACTATAAAATTTCTTTTTTGTAAAAGCTCAGGTTTATTTTGGAAAACTCCTCTCTCCCAATAAAAAGGCTGGTTTTAAACGAAGGCATTTTCTCCGATAGTAGTAAACAAAATTAACTAAAATCCATACTGCACTTTTCTCGCACGAGTGTGTTAATTTTAATGGGACAAAAACTTTTTATCTTCTAACCAGAAAAATAATTAACTAGATAAACGAATAACTGATAGTAGCCAAGATGAAAAGAAATACGCGTCAGCTGAAAGATATTCGAAAATCTTGAAAATACCCGTCCTAGCGAGCTGTCTCTCCTATCTTAAACTTGAAACGTTTTAGTTTAGCAATTCACAAGAATGGTTGCGAAGCAAAACTTTTCGCTTTTCTCTTTTTCTTCCTTTTGCGATTAGCAAAACATGAATAAGATCTCAAAACGTGTCCTAATCTTGTTAGTTTTTATGTTATTGCACAAAAAGTGTCGTCACGAAGCGAGACTGTTATTTTTAAAATGCTTTGGTCGATTTCAATATCAATAATACTCCGAATCTAAATATTCTTTAACCCATTCTTATAAATTTTCATATGCGGTGGATATTCTGAATTAACACAATAGACCACAATAGTCGATTGGGTTCCAA